TTACTCGTTCCTGAAGAAATCTCGCAAACACAAAAAAAAAAAAAAAAAAAGGGAGAAGAAAAACAACATCAGTGAAGAAGTATAAAATAAAACATAAAAAATCGGGTACAGACGATGAGGAAAATACTAGCTCATCGGTCGTCCCCTTCACACGAATAATACAGGAGCCCCTTATTCAACGATCACCTAGGGTTTCTCCGTCTTTCTCTCCCGTTAGCCTTTCCAAGCTTTTATCAACAACATCGCCGGCAACTGATGAAGCCTCACTGGCGGCATATCCATTGCCGCCTTCAAATGTGGACGAGTTTTCGTCGCCATCACCTTCGACATCAACGTCCCCTTCCCCTTCAAGATCATCTTCATCTGCTTCATCATCGTTCTCATCCGAAGACAACGCGTCTGCATCGTCATCCCCCCCGTCGCCAATGAAACTATCTTCGTAGCCTGGCTCCACAGGACGAGAAGGTAGGGGCCTTCGAGAAACGCCCTCATCCTCCTCACCGCTTCCCTCGCCAAGAAGTTCGCGATCAATGTCATCAAGGCCTTCTTCTGCTTCACCGTCCATATCCCCGGGCATGGATGACAGTTCCTGGTCTTGAGATGGCGCCTCGAGACTATCCTTAGCACCACCATCAGGGGCTGCCAGTGCATCCCCAGTGGGGCGGCTTGCACGGCTCCGGTTGTTCTTAGAACGAGATGCCGACGTGCTCTTGGCTTTGGGAGTCGCCGCCGTAGAGGCATCCGTAGTCGCACCAGCGAGCTTGCGCTTGGCATTACGCGCAGCTCGAGCTCTGCTACGTGCAGAGGTGGGCACACGCCCTGTTAGGTCCGTGTCAAGACCAAATCCGCTTTGTCTCGCCTTTTGCCGCTCTTCTCTCTCCCTTTTTCGGTCTCTCCTCGGGCCATTCGCATTTTCATGGTCCCACCGGTCTAGTCGCCTTGAAGCTTTACGAATGACGGACAAGTAGAAGCTGGCACACTCGCCGTAATCTTCCTCTTCTTCAGGGTTGGGAATTAAGCCCCCCTTGCCCCACGAGTTATCCTCATCTTCCGTGTCGTAGTTATCTGGGACATTCTGCAGCAAACGATTATAGCGGTGGAACGGGATTTCGGTTTCACGTTTCGTGCGGAGCAGCCGGTAAGCCTCATTCTTCCGTTTGGCGAGGATGTATTCAATACGCTGCCGCCTGTTTTGCTCCACAGCCAGCTGATGCTGGGTAAGCGGGCGGGGACGGCGGGAAGAGGTCTGTTGGGGCAAAGAAGGCTCTGTAACAAACCTATTAAGAACCGGGTGACCAGAACCTGGAGGTGCCGGAGAAGAAGCGTCAGGGGTATGCTCCATTTTTGTCTTCAGGATGAGGCGCTGCTGACCAACAGAACGATTAAGAGATGAATCCCGCTTGGGTCGCTTATATCGGGAACGGGCAGATTGTCCCGGTGTTTGATAGTCATCTTCGTCATCCGGATAACGTTTGGACGAGGGGTGCAATGGAGTCGACATAGCAGATCCACGACCTCCAAGGCCATCCCCTCGGCCAGAAAGATCGCCTGAAACCTGGTCATCGTCATATCCAGTTTCCAGAAGGCCTATGAGGTATGGTTAGTGAGAATCAGCATATTATTGGACGCGGAATAATGAAGAAGTACCTTTCTTAGAGCGTTTAGTTATCCTAGGGATTGGCTCTTCTTCTTCCAAGATACCTATACTGGGTCAGCTGATACAGGAAGAAAAGAATGATCAGGTCGAAACACCAACGTTTACGCTCCAAGCGTTTGGCTTCTCCATATTCGATTTCGGACTGTGTGTCCACATTTTCCTCGTTTGCCTGTTCTTCAGTGAGGCTCTCAAAGTTTGGTACTTTGATTGGCAGACCCCCAGTTCCTTCACCATCCAGGCCGGGGCCGAATGGGTTGTTCAGGGCTGCCTCAGGCGAGAAGTCACTCTCCAAATACCACCACATTAACCACAAGAAGGCCCTCGCACGACTCTTGCTGCTGAGCGTAGATCTCATGACTAGATCGAAAAAGTCGCGCGGAGGGAAGAAGTGCAATTCAGATACCTTGGGAGCGTACTGGGCCATAACGAAGATAAGATGGACCGGGTTTGTCCGAGGAATTCTCTGACGTCTAATCTTATCGAGCGTATTCGGCTGATCAACATCTTCTGATGCTCCCTTAAGGATTGACTTCAGACGCGGGGCATCTTGTAGCTGTTTGTAGGCATTGGGGTCTTGGTGTGCTTGCAAGGAAGGGATAGAGTGATAAGTCCGCAGTTGAGCACGCATTTCAGGGAAAACTAGGATGGCCACAAATCAATAATCACACTGTAACACACGGGGCATACTGGCATCCCCGCATGGTAGAGGAGCAAAGTCGAAGAAAGAAACATACAGTTGAGTGTGGTATTCATGCGTCCGAAGTTCACCAGTAGACAGACCATCGCCATGCTGATGGCTGCCTGTTTATCGTTTTGAAGCTTATCCTTCAGGATCTTACTTGTTTTGCTACTCTTTGCCATAGCATCGATGTAGACATCCGCAAAGTCCAGGCCTTTCTCTCCGTCTGGCCAACGAGTAAAGACCGGTGTCTTGTCTTCGAAGACAAGTTTGAGAAACTGATGTTGGATGTCTTTGCGCCATAACGGAATTCCATCCTCCTTCTTGAGATGTCTTATTTTATTCCCTGAGTAAACGGAGCCGATCGTACCGTTGGCCTGGCGTCGCGTGCCAACCGTCATGTTATGGGTTTGCTGCTCATCTTGAGGTTCAGAGTGTACGAACGAGTCGTCTGCGGCGGTGCTTTCGACTTCGGCCATGTTTAGTTCCTGGGATTTTAACGACTTTATAGGTACGAAGTCAATTGTTCTTTTCTGAGCAACCCCCAGATCCTTGATGTGGTAGCCTCCGGTGCGCGCCCTTGAACGGGGGTCACTGACAGCCGCGAAGAAATCGGCAGCCGGAAGCGCGTATAGCACTTCGGTTAAGAGAAAGCGAAGTATAGATGGCAGGAAAGAAATATAAGTATAAAAAGTAAGGAAAAAGGAAAGGGGCGCTGCCTAGGAGGTGGGGATAGTGTTGGGTGAGGGAAAGGGAGAAAGGAAGGTTGTGTTAAATGACGAAGGCTGATGTGAGTTTCTTTTTGGTGCCCCATTCGGGGGATCCAGTGATTGATTGCCCTTTGCACGGGGTTCCCGTCACTAAAGTAACGATACTAAGTACTAGCGGAGTAAGTACAGTACACTCCGATCGTCAACCTAACTATCAGTTCATACAAACTCAATTAATGAAATGAAATGTAATAGGATACAATGCAATAAAATCAAAATAGAAGTCAAAATAAGGATAATTCTCCCGTGATTAAGAAGGATTTTCGATTACTTCTCTCTACGCTAAGATATCGATTACGCCCTTGTAAACTAATTCTTGGATATCACCTAAGCCCTGAGCTTACTGGTTCGACGTCTTTAGTAGCTAGGGCTTCCAACTTTTATTCCTATTAAGATTGATAGATTTAGGGCATCTTAGAAATTACCACAAGAAGTCGATAAGACTAGAATCAAACTTTTTGTCCTGATAAATAGCTCCCCTTCCCGCGAGACAAGTAAAGTCCCGTGAACAGGGCCGTCTTCGGCATATCTCGTCGAGCCTATATCGCTACTGACATGAGACAATGATGTCTAGCATAACCACAAAAAATCATAAGTGCCAGCAAAAGCAGCATTCCATCCTCCACGATCCCAAGTGCAGAGAACATAATCTTTTTGTGGACACAGCAGCTTAAGCCCAACGCCATACACAATGCAAAGAAAAATCCCTTCTCTATCACTAGCATCACGTTATCATGCACCGCCTGTCCTAGAGGCAGTGTCAAAAAGAAACAAATACCCGCCGAAGAAGGCCCGTGGTCGCAACACGCTGTTCGGTTGCCCTCGCACCTTTTCTTCCACACAGTAGTGATGCGTAACAAGGACTCCTCCAGTCATAACTGAAGCGGCCATGTAGCACCGCGTGGAGAAGAAAGCAGCACTGGGCATAAACAGTAGCGACGCATGCATAAGAAGTGAAACTTGAATGTCGGAGGTTCAGACAAATAAATAAGGAAATGGAAACAACCCGCCATGAGATACCGAAAAAGTAAGAGATCTATCTTGCAAGACACGGTCGATGCGTTGCCACAGCACCAAGCAGATGAAACCATAAAAAGCACTTTTCTGAAAACGAAAAGCCGGCACTCCTGCTCGGCGCACATAGTTCAAGCGGATCTCCATATGGCCGCCTGAGAACAAAAAGGGTATCTGATAGAAGCGGTCGCAGGAGAAAGACAACGCAATCTATGATGTTCATGCAACGCCGACCAAGATGCTCTCGATTACATGATGGGTATAACCAGGAGCAGCAACATGGTGAGATCGGACCGCATCATAAGACCATGTGTAAAATCGAGAACAAGCAAACAAAATCTGCGAAATGCTCAGAAATAGAGAACACCGATAACTCGACGTGATAAAATGAAACAAGACAATGTGAAAGAACAAAAAGGAAATCTAAATGGAAGTCGTGGCAGTCATGACAAAGCCGTTCCTGAGATAAAACACAAAGAAAAATAACAACTCAGGGCTCGTTCTGATCGTATCCGTCAAATGAGAGGCAAGTGAAGATAAATGGAGCCAATCAGACCTGACGGCCTCGTCAGAGACCACAACCCTGGATTTACCACCAGGAGGAAGGTCCAGTAGGGCCAGAGGGGTTTCCATAGCCGCCGCCGCCGCTACCGCCGTAGCCGTAGCTGCCGCCACCACCGCTACCGCCGCCGCCGTAGGAGGGAGCACCACTACCATAGCTACTACCGTAGCCAGCACTGGGACCGCCGTAGCTGCTGCCACCGAAGGAAGGAGGACCGCCCATACTACCGCCCATACGACGCATATCACGGGTGGCGTTGGTTCCACGGCCGCGACCTCCACGGCCGCCACGACCGCCGTATCCACTGCCCTCACGAGCAATGCTCTCCAGGAACGACGGGACCTCTTGGTGAGCCTCCTTGAGAAGGTCAATCAGATCGCGAACGACGCCGCGGTTGCCACGGTTGAAGAAGGCGGTGGCAATACCGGTGTTACCCGCACGACCGGTACGACCAATACGGTGAACATAGTCGTCGATATCAGTAGGCAGATCGTAGTTGATAACGTGAGTAACGTTGGGGATATCAAGACCACGAGCAGCGACAGCAGTAGCAACCAAAATAGGGCAACGGCCGGAACGGAACATCTCCAGAGCACGCTCACGTTCACGCTGAGTACGGTCACCGTGAATGGCGGTGGCAGGGAAGCGCTGGTTGAGCAGGAAGTCCGACAGGGAGTCGGCCATGCGCTTGGTCTCAACGAAGATGAGAGTGAGACCGCTAGTGCCATGAGTGTGGAGAATATCCAAGAGAACCGAACGCTTGTCGTGATCTTCGACGTATTCAACTTTCTGGGTGATGTTCTCAGAGGTTGAGCCGACACGACCAACAGAAAGGAAAACATAGTCCTTCAGGAAGTCGCGAGCCAGCATTTGAATGTCGCGAGGGAAGGTGGCAGAAAACATCAGAGTTTGACGGTCATTAACATGAGGCATATCTTCACCCTCCACAATGCGGCGGATCTGAGGCTCGAAACCCATGTCCAACATGCGATCAGCTTCGTCAAGGATCAAGTACTTGATGTTGACAAGAGAAATGCGGCCACGCTCAATAAGATCCACGAGACGACCGGGAGTGGCAACCAGAAGATCACAACCACGTTCAATCTGACGGAGTTGAGATCCAATATCGGCACCACCGTAGACGACACAGGGACGAACCCAGGAGCGGTAGGCGAATTTGCGAGCTTCATCGAAGATCTGAGAGACTAGTTCACGAGTCGGGGCCAAGATAAGGGACGTCGGGTAGGCCTTGCGCTGACGGCCGTAGCTGAACTGGCCGGATGCCGGGGCAGGAGTCGGGGAAGGACCGTTCTGGAAGGCCTGAGACAAGATTGGGAACAGGAAACCACCAGTCTTTCCAGAACCAGTCTGGGCACAAGCCATCAGGTCACGGCCGTTCATCACGATAGGGATGGAGTACTTTTGCACTGGGGTGGGGGTCTGATAGTGAGCGAGCTTAATGTTCGCAATTAGGTGGTCATCCAAAGGAGGGTTGGTGAATGCGTTGACGGGCTCGGGAACATTGTGACCGGAAGCTTCCACGGGGATATCGTCGTAGTTGGCAAAGTTGATACCAGTGTTCTGCTTAGAGGGATCGTTGGGCAGGCCGAAAAGTTCACGCTCCACGCGGGCGTTGGCGGGACCAGGGATGTGCTTGCCGTCGCGCCACTGGCCATCTCCGGAGCCTCTGGCACTGCCTCCGCCATAAGAGCCTCCATGACCTGGGTTTCCGTAAGCATCTGGATTAAATGATCGGCGAGAACCTTCAGTGGGAGTCCAGCTGGTGTTACCATTGGGATTGGGACCGCGAGGGCTGAAATCAGGAGCGTTAGCGTTGGCCCAGTTGCCACCGCGAGGACCGCCTCTGTGAGATTAAATGGTCAGTGACTCGCACACGACAGGGAGCAAGCTGCAGGGTGAATGCAGCGAAGATACATACCTCGAACCCCAAGAGTTGCCGGGGCCGCTGGGACCAGGGGCAGGAGGGGCAGCGGCGGGGGCTCCGTCCATGTTCGCACCCATTTGACGTTGGCGGAGGTGGGGAGGGATGTAGGCAGCGCGGCCAGAGGAAGAGTTCGGGGCAGGCGCATGCTGAGATTCGTTGAGGGAAAGGCTTCCCATCTTCAAGCTGTCGGCCATCTTTGCGGTATTCCACTAACTATCTAGAGATGACAGATAAGCAATGTATTCCAAGTTGCACAGGTGGAATGCTGGTTTCCTGGCGCAGAAATTAGATGGCGGTATATGGACGTACAAAAGAGGGAAAGGGAAAAGAAGCTGCTTTTTTTTTTTTTCAAAAAAAAACCCGGGGAGCAGAAGCGCGATATGCTTATCGTCAGAAAATCGGGAAAAGAGCGCCCGAGATTCGTATTTTGTACAGGACAAAAGGGAAGGAGAGAAACGTGAAGAAGGTAAAAAGAAGTATCCTTGTGTCTCTCTATTGAGTGGCGATCCAGATGGATCGAATATGAGTAACACAACAAGAAAAAGATAAAAAAAAAAGATTTGAGGGGGGGGTTTCAAAAGTAGAACAAGGCGATCTCCCAGATCTAACCCTCTATTAAATTGCAGAAAGAAAGAAGGGGGAAGAAAGAGAAAAAAAGAGAAGTTGATAATATGTGGAAAAGAAAAGGAAAACCAATTTGGATTAGGGGAGGAGGTTTGAAAAAGGAAGAGGAAGAGATTAGGTTTTGTGGGAGAAGGAGAGGAAGTGAGGCAAAGCCTGACTTAATTTAGTGTTTGCAGTCACGCTCAATGACCACCAACCTGTGTGTACTTACCACGGACTGTACTGGTACCTACTCGCTCTGGGTATTTTGCATGCGGTTCCAAAAAAAATGTCCTGGGGGGATTTTTCTATTGGCACATCCAGCGTGGATTTCAAAGGCAAGGGCAAAAAAAAAAATAAAATAAAATAAAATAAAAAAGGGAAAAAAGTTCAGAAGCGAAGGCAAATAGGGAAAA